CCAGTTGAGTACTAGGTGAGTGTCCTCACATCGTTTCAGAACAAGTTTGAGGTTACTCAATCAATATTCAAAGTCATCTCCAAATAGAGTAAAGTCATGCATGAACACCTCTAGACACTTCCCGTTCAAATCTTAAAATATTGATATCATGCATTTCTGGAAAGTAGCTGGTGCGTTGCATAGTCCGAAAGGGATTCTACAGTATGTAAAGATTCCGGATGGGCATGTAAAGGTAGTTTTCTCAACATCCTCGGGAGAAATAGGTATTTGATTGTACCATGAATATCTATCTAAGAAGCAATGACACCCGCGCCCCACCACCTTCTCCAATATCTGATCAATAAAAAGGAAAAGGGAAGTGATCCTTCCTTGTTGAATCATTTAATCTCCGGTAATAGAAGCACATCCTCTACCTAGTAACTGTTCTGGTAGGAATTAGCTTGTTGTCCTCATTTTTTACCACGGTCATGCTCCCATTTTTCGGCACAACCTGTACAGGGCTAATCCATTGACTGTCAGAGATGGAATATATTATACCTGCATCCAGCAATTTGAGTATCTCTTTTTGCACCACTTTCTCAAGATTTTTGTTCAATTTGCAATGTGGCTACACCACTGGTTTGATCCCTTCTTCTAATAGGATCTTGTGCATGCAGATTGCAGGGTTGATTCCCTAAATATCGGCTATACTCCAATCGATTGCATTTTAATGCTTCCATAGTAACTCCACAAGCATGTGTTCTTGTTCATATGTCAAATCAGCAACAACAATTACAGGAAAATTGTTAGTCTCCAAAAAAGCATATTTTGAATATGTCGAGAGAACCTTTCAATTGCAACTTCTGCTTGCTCTTTTATTTCTCAAATTATTCTTCGTCTACCACCCGGTTCTCATCTTTTAGTGCCTCAACTTCCTTTTTGATCTCTGGATCTTCATCCTCTATTTTGCTTAAGTGACTAATGCATCTTTCTAGTGAATCACCTACCAGTTTATCCAGCTTGTGTTGTTCAGCTAACACTCCCACCACATCTAGTTTGAGACAAGCATAGCTATATGCCTCATCACATGGGTATTTCATTATTCTCTTCATTTGAAATACCACTTTCTCATTTCCCACTTGTAGCATAAGTTTTCCCTCATATATATCAAGAATAGACCCGCCAGTGTAAAGGAATGGTCTTCCCAAGATTATAGGTACCTCTTTATTCACTTCCATATCTACCATAATGAAGTGTATTGGGAAAATAAATTTGTCTACCCTTACTAGAATGTCCTCAATTATGCCCTCTGGTATGATTGTGGTCTGCTCAGCCAGTTGCAAGGATATTGGCATAGATTTGATCACTCCTATCTCTCCTTCTAATTTCTTGAACATTGATAACGGTATCAAGTTAATGGGTGCACCTGAATCGCACAAGGCTTTGTCAAAATTTTTGCTACCCAACGAGTAAGGTATAGTGAAACTGCCAGGATCCCCACACTTCTTAGGAATTTTGTTCTGTAGAATAGCATTACAGTGGGCATTGAGTTTGACCACTTTTATTTCCTTGAGCTTCTTTTTGCTTGAAAGGATTTCCTTCAAAAATTTTGCATAGGCAGGCATCTGTGTGATCACCTCTATGAACGGGATGTTCACATACAATTATTTCAGCATCTCCAAGAATTTCCCAAAGCCTTTGTCTAATTTTTCCCACTTCATTTTTTGAGAAAAAGGTAACAATGGCATGTGCTTGCTTTCCCCAACTGCGTTGCTCACCTTCTGCTTATCAACCTCCTTACTGCTAACGTTCTCCTCGGGTAGAGATTCTCCAATTTTCTATTCTTCAGCTATCTTGGTTGAGTTGATTTTCTTTTCATCCCTTGGTTATGCCTTGGGATCTGATAATGTTTTCACACTCCTACGAGACATATCTTTGATTGTCTCTTTTGGATTCTTTTCAGTGTCTGCCGGCAAAGTCCACGGTGATCTTTATGACAATAATGTTGCAAGTTGCCCCATTTGTCTTTCCAAATTTTGGATGGTTGTGCCTTGCTCCCTGATAGTGGTCCCTTGAGTCTTAAGTTTCCCATCAGATTTATTTATAAATGCCTTCATTAGATCGTTTGAACTTGAGTTGTTGGGCTTTGGAGGTTGGTATGGTTGCCTCTGTTGAGTTTGGAAACCAGGAGGTTCTTGCACTGGTGCTCTGGGATTTTGTTGTTGCCATGAATTCAAACTACCAGTTAAAGAACTCCATGAGAAATTTGGATGTCTCTGTCCCATAGAATTGAAATTACCACTTCCTTGGTGGTTGCCTCTAGTGAAGTTCCCCACAATGTTGAGGCAACTACCAAGGAGGTGGTAATTTCAGTTTTATGGGACAGAGACATTTAGGGTTCTCATGGAGTTCTTCAACTGGTAGTTTGAACTCATGGTAGCAGTAAAATCCCAAAGCACCAGTGCGAGGACCTCCTAGTTTCCAAACTCAACAGAGCCAACCATACAAACCTCTGTAGCCCAACAACTCAAGTTTAGTAGATCTAATGAAGGCATTTATAAATAAATCTGATAAGAAAATTGAGAATCCGGGAGCAAAACATAGCCATCAGGAATTTGGAAAGACAAATGGGGAAGCTTGCAACATTGTTGTCAGAAAGTGCACCGGGGATTTTGCTGGCAGACACTAAAAAGAATCCAAAAGAGACAATCAAAGCCGTGTCTCTCAAGAGTGGGAAAACATTGGCAGAGACCAAGGCAAAACCAAGGGATGAGAAGGAGATCAACTCAACCAAGATAGTTGAAGAATAGAAAATTGGTGAATCTCTACCCAATGAGAATGTTAGCAGCAAGGAGGTTGATAAGCAAAAGGTGAGCAGCGCAATTGAGGAAAGCAAGCACATGTCATTATTACTTTTTTATCAAAAGATGAAGCGGGAGAAATTAGACAAATGCTTTGGAAAATTCTTGGAGATACTGAAGCAGTTGTATGTGAACATCCCGTTCACGGAGGTTCTCACACAGATGTTGACCTATGCAAAATATCTGAAGGAAATCCTTTCAAGCAAAAGGAAGCTCAAGGAAACGAAAGTGGTCGAACTCAATGCCCACTACAATGCCATTCTACAGAACAAAATTCCTTAGAAGTGTGGGGATCCTGGCAGTTTAAAAACATTATACCTTACTCGTTGGGTAGCGAAAATTTTGACAAAGCCTTGTGCGATTCAGGTGCATCTATTAACTTGATACCATTATCAATGTTCAAGAAATTAGAAGGAGAGCTAGGAGTGATCAAATATATGCTGGTATCCTTGTAACTAGATGATCAGACCGTGATCATACCGGGGGGCATAATTGAGGACATTCTAGTAAGGGTAGACAAATTTATATTCCTAGTAGACTTCAACGTGGTAGAATGGAAGTGAATAAGATGTACCTCTAATCCTAGGGAGAACATTCCTTTGCACTTGCCGGGCTATTCTTGATATATATATAAGGGGCAACTCATGCTATGAGTGGGAAACAAAAAAGTGGTGTTTCAAATGAAGAGAATGATGAAATACACATGTGATGAGGCATCTGCCTATACTTATCTCAAACTAGATGTGGTGGGAGAGTTAGATGAACAACACAAGATGGATAAGATTGTAGGTGATTCACTAGAGAGACGCATTAGTTAATCAAGCACAACAGAGGATGAAGATCCTGAGATCAAAAAGGAAGTAAGAGAACGGGTGGTAGATGAAGAAGAATTCGAGAAAGAAAAGAGCAAGCCGAAGCTGGAATTGAAAGTACCTCCGACACATTTGAAATATGCTTTTTGGAGACTAACAATTTTCCCGTAATTGTTGGTGTTGATTTGATAGGTGAACATGAACACATTCTTGTGGAGTTACTACAGAAGGATAAAAAGGCAATTGGTTGGAGTATAGCCAATATTCAGGGGATCAGCCCCGCAATCTGCATGCACAAGATCCTATTAGAAGAAGGGAGTACACCAGTGGTGCAGCCTCAGTGCAAATTGAACAAAAATCTTAAAGAGGTGGTGCAGAAAGAGATACTCAAATTGCTGGATGCAGGTATAATATTTTCCATCTCTGACAATCAATGGATTAGCCCCCTACAGGTTGTGCCCAAAAAAAGGGGGCATGATGGTGCTAAAAAATGAGGACAACGAACTAATTCCTACCAAAACAGTTACTGGGTGGAGAATGTGCATAGATTACCGGCAATTAAATGATGCAACAAGGAAGGATCACTTCCCTCTTCCGTTCATTGATCAGATGGTGGAGGAAGTAGTGGGGCGCTTATATTACTACTTTTTTACATGGATATGTAGGGTATAATCAAATACCCATTTATCCCGAAGATGTTGAGAAAACCACCTTTACATGCCCGTCCGGAATTTTTGCATACCGGAGAATTCCTTTCGAACTATGCAAGGCACCAGATACTTTCCAGAGGTGCATGATGTCAATAATTTTAGATTTGAATTGGAAGTGTCTGGAGGTGTTCATGGATGACTTTACTCTATTTGGATATGACTTTGAATATTGCTTGAGGAACCTCGAACTTGTTCTGAAACAATGTGAGGACACTCACCTAGTACTTAACTGAGAAAAATGTCACTTCATGGTTAAGTAGGGGATAGTCTTGGGCCATAAGGTCACAGTTGAAGGTATTGAGGTTGATAGATCTAAAGTAGATGTGATAGTCAAGCTCCCCCCACCGAATTCAGTGAAGAGCATAAGAAGTTTTTTGGGGCATGCCGGTTTCTATAGAAGGTTTATTAAGAATTTTTCTAGCATTACCAAGCCCTTAACTGAATTACTTGCCAAGGATATGAAATTTGTATTTGATGTGGAGTGTCTCAGAGCATTCGAACTGATCAAGGAAAAGCTAGTGAGTGCCCCCATAATGGTGACTCCTAACTGGAGTGAGCCTTTTGAGATAATGTATGACAGTAGGAGCAATGCTGGGGTAGAGGAGAGCCATTTACTATGCAAGCTGGACCTTGAATGATGCTCAGGTGAACTATGTTACTACAGAGAAGGAGTTCTTTACAGTAGTCTTTGCTTTTGACAAGTTCAGATCCTATTTGTTGGGAAGCAAGGTAATAGTGCATACCGATCACTCAGCACCGAACTATTTGCGAGTAAGAGAGAGTCCAAATCGCATATGATGTGGTGGGTATTATTGTTGTAAGAATTTGATCTAGAAATCAAAGACAGGAAGGGCACAAAAATCAAGTGGCTGACCACATGTCACAATTGGAGAAACCACCTGTTGAAGCGGTGGACATTCGGGAAGAGTTCCTAGATGATTAGATTTGTTCCATTGCAGTAGTCTCTGATAGACCACCATGGTTAGGCGACATAGCCAACTTCTTGGCTAGTGGGTAACTGCCATACGACTTGACCTCCGATCAGAAAGAAGCTGCAAAGTGAGGTAAAAGGTTATTTTTGGAATGACCCTTTGTTGTTTAAGCTGTGTGCGGATGGTGTTATTCAAAGATGTGTGCCTGGTGGAGAGATGGCAAGCACTCTGTCTCACTACCATAATGGAGCAGCTGGAGGACACTATGGTGGAAATCGCACTGCAACAAAGGTCATGGAGAACTATTTGAGTGGAACTATTGAAATAAGGAGAAAGGTGCATTGTTTCGAAAATAATAAGAGCCACTTGAATTGTTACACCCTGCAATATTATGATGATGTTACGTCCTGCAGTATTATATTACGATGATGTTATGCCTTGCAGTATTACATTACGATGATATTAAACTTTGCAGTATTAAGTTAAGATAATGTTGCACCCTACAATATTAAATTATGATGATGTTACACTTCACAGTATTAAGTTACGACAATGTTGCACCCTGCAGTATTACATTATGGTAATGTTATGCTTTGCAGTATTAAATTACGACGATGTTGCACCTTGTATTATTGTACATTGAATTTATCGTAAAGACGTTAACATCAGTTCAAGGGAAAGATTATTTGGAGATTATAAGGATTATGCTATTTCAAACAAGTGATGAGTAAATTCGTGAAGGTGAGAGGGGAAGCAAGTCGAAAAAAATGAATTTCATTGAAATTTGGCATTTTGGAAAAAAATAGCTAAATTACCCGATATTTATGGACTAGTACCATACAAGGTACCACATGACCATGGTAGTAAATTATATAAGGTATATGAAAAGTAAGTAATATTTTAAGTAAGTTGAGAAAATTCTTAATTATGCGGGTAATTAGTTAATTACCGGGTAACGGGACATTACCTAATTAATGGGGATATATTGGATAAGTATTGTATAGCATGATGTGGCAGCCACATATTCAAAGAAAATGACCCATGTTAAAAGTTGAAAGGTGGCACTTAAGTGCCATTTGCATGTTTGATTTAAATGACTTTGCACCATATTCAATGTAAGGTGACTTACGTACAAGCTACCAAGACCTTAAATGGTTGATTTGTGGTCTTTATTAAGCTTCTTCCTAATTCCAAACAATTGCAAGAATAGAAGATTACACTCCAATAAGAACGAAAGATTACACAAGAATGGATATTAATCTTGAAACAAAAAAAATTCCAACAAGATATCTTAGCACCGTAGCAACGTG